TCTTTATTTGGCAGATCTTCAAATAATAAAATAAAGTAAGCAATAAAAAACAGCTGAATCAATTTAAAATTATTTTTTCATTTTATTCCCTTAAGTCATATCTCGATTTACCAGCATATATGCCAAGACTGAGCCCAGAGTGGTATAGAAGTAAACTGAGGAATTACGTCCCCCAAAGCAAATCTTGAATCAGCGCTTTGGAAGAGAGCTGACTGTCCTGATGCTTGCACAGTGCTTCGCTGTAAGGCTGAGGACCAAAGCTGCGCTGCTTTTAAGTATTTTATATTTCTTGGTCTACTCCAGTGCAAGTGCGAGGTTATGATAGACTTGAAACGTAGTTACATTGGAAAAGTAGGTGTTTCCTTTTCTAGTTCAAATCCTGGCATGCACAGCTTTGTGAAACGCACCTGCATTGCCACTACTGTGGTTGTAATTTGAAAAAAATAAATACATTTGAAAAAAAAAAAGTCTGAACATATCTCAGCAATTGCTGAGAAGTGCTTGCTAGACCGATCACACTGCTGAAGGACTCTCACAGCTGCAGTTCATGCTTCCATCTGTCATCCTTCCTTTTCCACACAGGATGGTACTGACCAGCACAGGTAGTATGCAGATAGTGCCCACGTGCAGCCTTCGCACTGTAAGTCCCACTTTTAGCATGAGATGTTACATTTAATAACTGTCACTGCCTTGAATTGATGGGAATAGAATTCTTTCCGTAGAGGTTTGCATTTGAGTTTACTTTCAGGTTGGTTCAAATAAGGGGCTAGCTGTCCTTCATTCCAGTACCTCCTAAACTCTCAGAGAAACAGAACGTGTGCGTAGAGAGGTTGAGGAGCGGAGGACGCAGTGTGTGTGTGATTTGAAAAGTGCAAGTTGTCCACTATACCGCGGTCCCTTGGCAAGGCCAGTGGACATCACGTGCATGTTTATTCCTACCAGGAGCATCATCCGTAAGATTCCTCATCTTCCTCTGTCCTGCATAAGGTTATGTGGGTGCACATTATTCTTACCTCTTAAACACAGCTTGTAGGGAAAAGATTTTATTTATTTTTTTTTTTTTCTTTTTTTGGCGGAACCGGGGATTGAACTCAGATCCTTGCCTTTGCCAGTCAAGCGCTTATCCTACTGAGCCATCTCCCCGGCCCAAGAAAAGATTTTGAACCTACACGCGTAAGTGTAGAACTATCGGCCACTGTTGATGACTGTAAGGATGGAGAGTGTTGCCCTCCTGCCTGACCTAGCGAGAGCCTACTCAGCCGGGGAACCATCACTCAGAAATAGGTTTGGAAGGCAGGAGCCACGATACACTTTCTTGATTTTATTTCCTGTAACAGTATTGGCTGTCTCTGCCCAACTCTAGATAAACTTGTCACACTAAATGGAATAGGTTTGAAAGGGATTTTAAAAAACCAAAACAAAATACAGTGTTCCCCCCCACCCCAAATAGGAGTGAACACAAAGGACAAAAAGAATAGCAGGTACAATTATTTTAAATGTCGTTAGTGTTTAGCCATCCACAACAGAGCATGGTATCTAGTGTAGAATATTCACGCCTGTTAGGAAACATGAATTCTGTCTTGAACAAGCTAAGTAGACGGAGAAGAATAAAATAAGTTAAAACTCTGCCATGCAAAATAAACCATGAATAAAATAAGGGCTTTAGTGCTTTTCCTTTTCTTCAAATGAAGGCGAGGTTTCTTATAAAGTACAAAGGGGAGGTGCCCACTTGGCAGCCTTTGCAGACTGCTCTTTCATAGCTGACTGTTTCTCTGTTCCTTTTTCCCCTGTCGTTTGAGACAGGGGTTCACTCTGCAGTTCGGACTGACCTTAAACTTACTTTGTAGAGCAGGCTGGCCTAGAACTCACAGTGATCCGCCTACCCCAGCCTCCTCAGTGCTAGGATTACCCCTATGAGCCATCAGGCCTGGCACTCTTTCTCTGCTCCTGATTGGGCTTGAGGTGTGGTCACTTCCAAGAAGTGCCTCTGTGTCCATCCAGTGGACACTGTTACACAGTGTGACCAAGTCGGGGCTCTCCTCCACCTGTCCACATGGGGAGAGCCACGGTCGTGTGGTCAAATTGTTTCTAGAGATTTCAGCACACCAACAGTACAGTTCTGTTGAGCTTCCCGAAGAGCTAAATTTGTGAAATGGCAGGTAGCAACCTATGTGTAAAATACTCTCACCTCCTACTCTCCACCCCCGGGCAGCAGGCTCCTATTGAATTTGAGGTGTGAACACCTTGATGTTTCACTCTGACTCAACTTTCCATTCTCATGTTTGAGAAGATTTGATAATACCCACCTCTATGGCTGAAACAAGCCTTCATATTTAATATTGAGACTTGAGATGAAAACCAAACTAACAAAGTATGTTGATTCTACAGAAGAAATCATACTTGAATCCGCTGATGCACAGCTAGTTGCTGAACATTTCCTTCATGTCTGGCGCTCTCTTAATTGGGTCTATTAATCCACATAATAATCGGCAGCTCACTCTGTAAAGGGGGGCGATATTTCAGACCTGAGAGTTAAGTAATTTGCCCAACATTACACCTAGCAAATGACACAGACAGGTTTTGAATGCAAGTAGTTTGATTCTTTACATCTGGTTTATTCACTTTCAACCTATTCTGACTCTGAGTGTAGTCAGTACCCCTGATAGACTGTGTTTAAAATAAGATACGGTTTACCCAAAATACAGTAACTTCTACTGGAGGCTGTGAACTGCGTAAAGCAAGATATGCCTGTGGAAACTAGTGCTGTAATTTCAGGGTTTTCCCTCTAACTAATGAAGAGTATTTTTTTTCTGCAAGAGAATTAAGCACCCAATTGTGCAAGGGTTGAAATGCTCACTGAAATCAGGATTACACCCGCTTTGGCATGCTGTGTCAGGCAGCCGGGGTATAAGGAAAGACAAGCCGGCTGGAGTGAATGTTCCAATTCAGATTTGAACCTCAGCCATATGTGTGATAGTTTGCAAATGGCCCCTTACGCTGTGTTTATGTGGATCGTGTAGATGGAGCTGGTGTTGATTCGCCCAGTGTGGTACTTAGATTTATGAAATGACAATTCTAACCTAACTGGGCTCCCTGGTTTAATTTAGATAAAAAGGGCCACAAAAAAACCAAGCCCCCAGTGGCCCACTGGTTCAGGGGAAAGCAACATCCTCTGTTTTCGCGTAGGGAGTCCCAAGTGGGACCCTTGGCCCTCCAACACAGTGTTTGATGTTGCTGTTCTTGAGACTGAGAAGAAACGTGCTGTGTGTTCTAGTCCTGACTTGGAGGAGGAGGGAAGAAAAGAGGTGCCCGGGATATCTTTGGGGAAAATCTAGCTTTTATTACATCACCTAAAGTGGCACAACCTGCTACACTAATGAAATCGTGTTCTTGGTTTAAAAGGGCAATTGTTAGCCTGACTTTGCGCTCACTAAAAACATTCCCCCCATCTTGTTAAGTTATTGCTCTCATTTCAGATTTTTATAGCTGTGCAGCTTACCGGCCTCATTTCTTTACGTTTCATTCATTTTCCTTGTATTGATGATTAATGGAGGATGTCGAATGTTAGAGTGAGCAGGCATCAGCAATTGCAAGATCATAATTAGTTTAGCTGACGAGGGCCTCTGATAGCACTTGCATCTGGATGGAAAAATTACCCTATAGGGAACTGGCTGCTCACCAGGTCTTTTTAGTGATACATTGTGAAACACCCGATGAATCAAATGCCCTTTCAATGCCAAGAAAGTGTTCCAGTCTTGAAGCCAAAATTATGTCTGCAGAAAGCTTTCCATTTGAAATGTATCAGAGTACAATTATAACCATTGTATTTTCTTGGCAGGCATACCACTCCGCTACAGTATGGACTCCAGTTAAATAAATTGCCTAAATTTTATGTATCCCTGAAATTTTGACTTATAGCGTTTATAATATTTAATTTATAATAAAATTAGGTTCCAGCAAGACTTTTTCCACTCCTTATCTAACATGCATATTTTATCATTAAAGGCTTTGCTTCCTAGAAAAAAGAGAGCTGGGCCGCAATCCGGGCTGCCTTTTTTGGGGGGCAGATGTCGGGGGGCGGGGGGAGAATTCCATTTCCTGCCTGTTTGCATTTGCGCCTACAAACACAGCCTGACTTTTTTGTTTAAATGAAAAAGTTTACTGGAATCATTACTTGATAGCAAGAATGTAACCGGTGATACTAATTATCTCTACTTTCAAATATTCTTACTTTTGAATCTGACGATTACAGATTTCAGGCTACTAAAAGCAATCTGTATCTGGAAATGCTTGAGACGTCCAAGTCTGAGTCAAACAAAATAAATAAATAGCCACGGACGGGACGGAGTTGTCTAGCTCGGAAGGCAGCCGTGCGCGCTCTTGGTGATACTGTACTCCTGGCAGTCTTCCCTCCCGGTCCGCCCGCCCGGCACTGGGGAATAGAGGGAGTTTCTCTTTTGCATTTTAACAGTTACAGAGGCAAGTCCAGAGGCGGGAGTATGGTGGTCTCTCGTACTTCGGTTACATGAGTAACACACAGAGGGACACAGAGTGGGGTTACCTTTAAGCAAGTCTTTGTTGTTGTTGTTGTTCCAGACTCGACCATATTTTAAAACTCAGGTAACCTGTCCCAAAGTGTACTTAAAAGGCATTGCTGTGTTTGGACTTCCTTACTCTTGTTTTGACGCTTTTAAAAGGTGTATTTTAAAGTTCAGCATTTTGGAGCAATCATTATGGGTACAAAACCCAAAGTTCAAAATGTTACAGCTGCCCCTGTGAAAAGCCTTTGGAGTTGCACACACCTCATCCATCACTGCAGGGTTAATTATAATGAAAATCGGTGGTGCCTATTAAGCACAATTGAACCTGACCTCATTATAGGCAGTGTGGTTTTATACTGTCATTGTGGCAAGTCTGAAGACAAAACTCCTGGGCTGATTTGGTCTGACTCCACCGATCACGTGACTCACCTCTGACCTTGGTCTTCCCCCCCACTGCAGAGGCGCAGAGGCTCTGGTGTTTTTTGTGCCAATTGCCTGACCACGAAGACCTCTCTCTGGCGAAAGAATGCAAATGGCGGATATGTATGCAACGCGTGTGGCCTATACCAGAAGCTGCACTCGGTAAGGATTTGTCCCACTGTTTCAAGGGAAGCTTTCGAAAGCTGAGCTGGCCTGCACTGCAGTGTGAGAAGTCCCGCTGCTGGCTTGGGTTGCCTGCCCCTGCAGGGTGGCTCAATACAGTCACTTTGAACGTCCATGTGATTTATGGTAAAGGGGCCTTAGATGTTATGTGCAGATATATTTGAAATCATTAGTAATGCACTATGCCTCTTGCGATATACAAGAGGAAAATGATTTTGAGGAACTTCACCTAGGAGACAGTTGACCTAATGGTTATTGGAGCTTGGTGCAGTAAAAGGATGTGGGTAGAAAAACCTCCTTAAAAGTTTCACAAATATACTGCAATTTAAAATAAAATAAAGGGGCCTGGAAGATGGCTTAGTGGAATAAGCGCTTCCCTGGCAAGCGCAAGGGCCTGAGTTCAATCCCCAGTTCCAATAAATAAATAAATAAATAAATAAATAAATAAATAAAAAAAAATAAAAGGTGCTTCCAAGGTTGATATGAAATAAAAGATGAGGAATGAATATTTATTTTCTAGTTTGCCTTCGGATTTGTAAGCACTCTCTTGGCCTTGGCTGTTGGGCACCTGGAGGCCGGGCACTCTCAGAAGCACAGATCCGGACTGGGTCAGGCTTTGCTAGGTCAGGTAGTACTGCAGGGGAGACTTGGTGAGGAGTCCGCTGTCCTCAGTGTGCAAACAGCAGGGTAGGATCAGCTGCAAGGTGTGTTGTGTCCTTAATCGCCAGCTGTCTGGGCTCACGGGGATCCACCAGATTACTCCTTTTCCAACTTTTCGTTAGAAGGCTGTAGTGAAATTTAAACTGTCAAATCCTCCATCTGCATATTCATTTGACTTCCGCAGGGATTCTTTATAGTTTAGAAAGTTTATCTGCTGACACGAACTGACTTTAAAATCGGAGGGCCCCATTTAGTAAACAGAAATCTATTTGCCTGTGCCTTTTTCATTTTGTTTGGCATTTCACCATCGCTCTTAGCAGAAGCCAGTGAATAGATTACGGCCTTAGGGAATACAACTTTAGACAAAGCGCCCTCCTAAATGGACCATTGGAAGCATTCTTTAAAAAAATGCATGCTGCCAGCAATACTAATTGGGAGTAAGCACTGAAATCCTGAGTTAGTAGAGTGTAGCTAGGAGAAAGCGCCCTCCCCCACCACACGCACCTCCTGGTGACCGTCCCCGTGTGTGCACACTTACCCACAGCTTCTGGGTAATAAGCACTAGTATTAATTATTTTAATGGAATTGTGGCCAGTCACAGGCCAAGAATTAATTAAATGACTGCTCTGCCGAGTTACAATAATTTAACCACGGTGATATAAACTATTTCCTAAAACTTATTTTAATGTTCATCTCTCCAGAGGCAAGATGTTTTCAGTTTTGAATCTTTACAAGTGATACCTAGAAATACGAGGAGGCTCTGCTAACACAGGCTTGCAGCAAACATTACAGAAGTTTTAAGAGAAGGAATTAATGCACATTTCAGGTTTTGTTATTGGGTGGGGATTAAATACCACCTATCCTTATAATCCTGAGACAGACTCTGTGTAAACTGAAGTATTCTGGAAAAAATGAATACGCGTGGCATCTCCACGCCACGTGCCGTTTCCTGTTCTGAAACCTTCAGTTTAATTGGAAAATCAGTGTGTGATCTTCCTTTGCTTCAAAATAGCTTGTCAGAACAGAAATATTCCAAAAGAGATTTATGTCTGCCTTTTGTTTAGTATATAAAAAATACTCCTTTGTGAAGTGTTTCCTTCTCCAGAACAATTCACAAATTACATATTACCTGTACACTTTCTAGAAATTATTTCCTGATTTTAACACTCTTTTAGGGAAAACTTTAGTACGCTTGAAGATACTCGTAAACTTTTAATGTTTAAATATGCATTACTTTTTAAATTACTCTTTTGATTTTATGAACCAAAGTGAAAGCTTTCCCTGTAAGTAAAGTTTTATTATAGTCTTATCTATGGATTTGAGTCACATAATATAAACCTCTGTTGAGTATGTAGGTAAATACCAATCATGTAATGTCTAAGCTAAATAAAATACTTAAGCTGAATTAAACTCAGCATTTACTTTAAGAACAGCAGAATGACAGATTGGCTATTTGAACCATTCTGCAAATGAATTTAGGTTTTCAACATAAAACTAATGCTTCACCTGTTAACAAGTAAAATCTTCTAAAGTGAATATGCAAGGATCACTGCAGGAAGAGAAATAAAGAAGGAAAAAAATCCTGATGTGGCTTTATCTGATGCCTCCTTACAATTCTCAGGTTAACTTTCACTATTCTTGCTCTGCTATGAATATTTTATGTTCACGTTTGTACTTCCTTATAGAGCTGCATGAGTTAGTTTAAGCTCCCATAACAAAAGCATAGACTGAGTGTCTCAAAACAACTCAGAGTGTCTTCCCACGGTTCTGGAAGCCGGAAGCTCCAGGTGCCCAGTGGCTGGATTCTGGTAGAGGCTTCTTCTTGGCTTGGATGGCTGTCTTCTTGGTGGCTGGAGAGAAGGTTCTTTCATTTCGTCTTTAAAGTTGTCCTGATTACCTCCTAAAGACTTTCTACACACATCCACTTTCATGTATGGACTTCAACATAGGAAGGGGAAGGGGTGCAGTTTGCTCCACCAAGATGCATACTCGTGTCCCCTTTGGAGTTGTCATCATTTCAGTGTGTAAGTCAAAGCTCAAAACTATTTTGGTAAAATCATAATTTTCCAAGTAACTTTCTGTGGTGCAACCACAAAATCTGATGAATCTGAAAAAGTTGCTTTCAAGTACATTAAAGTTTTCTGTCCCTCCCCCCACAAAGATGGGCCTGATTTAATTAGGCGAAAATAGTGCACTTTGGTTACTTCCTCTGCTGCTGCTTAGGGCAAAAGGAGGAGATTTAGTAAATCTGCAGCATAAACCCTATCCCTGCTTTGAACTGCAGCATGGTTTATATTTGTGAGGAATTTTTAATGCATTTTAATGTATTTTTTAATGTTCTCTTTTTATGTATTGTGTGTGTTCTCTGCAGACTCCCAGGCCTTTAAACATCATTAAACAGAACAACGGTGAGCAGATTATTAGGAGAAGAACCAGAAAGCGCCTTAACCCGGAGGCACTTCAGGCGGAGCAGCTCAGCAAACAGCAAAGGGGTAGCAGCGAGGAGCAGGTCAATGGAAGCCCATTAGAGAGGAGGTCGGAGGAGCATCTAAGTGAGAGCCACCCGAGAGAAATTCCACTCCCAAGCCTAAGTAAATATGAAGCCCAGGGTTCATTGACTAAAAGCCATTCTGCTCAGCAGCCAGTCCTGGTCAGCCAAACTCTGGATATTCACAAAAGGATGCAACCTTTGCACATTCAGATTAAAAGTCCTCAGGAAAGTACTGGAGATCCAGGAAATAGTTCCTCTGTGTCTGAAGGGAAAGGAAGCTCTGAGAGAGGCAGTCCCATAGAAAAGTATATGAGACCTGCAAAACACCCCAATTATTCACCACCAGGCAGCCCGATTGAAAAGTACCAGTACCCGCTCTTTGGACTTCCCTTTGTACATAATGACTTTCAGAGTGAAGCTGATTGGCTGAGGTTCTGGAGTAAATATAAGCTCTCCATTCCTGGGAATCCGCCCTACTTGAGTCATGTGCCTGGCCTACCAAATCCTTGCCAAAACTATGTGCCTTATCCCACCTTCAATCTGCCTCCTCATTTTTCAGCTGTTGGATCAGACAATGACATTCCTCTAGATTTGGCGATTAAGCATTCCAGACCTGGGCCAACTGCAAACGGTGCCTCCAAGGAGAAGACGAAGGCACCGCCCAGTGTAAAAAATGAAGGTCCTTTGAATGTAGTAAAAACAGAGAAAGTTGACAGAAGTACTCAAGACGAGCTTTCGACAAAATGTGTGCACTGCGGCATTGTCTTTCTGGATGAAGTGATGTATGCTTTGCATATGAGTTGCCATGGTGACAGTGGACCCTTCCAGTGCAGCATATGCCAGCATCTTTGTACGGACAAATACGACTTCACAACGCACATCCAGAGGGGCCTGCATAGGAACAATGCACAAGCGGAAAAAAATGGAAAACCTAAAGAATAAAACCTTAGCACTTAGCACAATTAAATAGAAATAGGGTTTCTTGATGGGAATTCACTAGCTTGTAATGTCTTATGAAGACCTATTAAAAAAAATACTTCATAGAGCCTGCCTTATCCAACATGAAATTCCCTTCTTTTACTCTTCTGTCTTTTGATGAGTAGGTTACCAAGATGTAAAGATGAGACAGGTGGTCAGTGAGAAAGAGCGGAAGGTGGTAAACAATCATTTTTTAACTTAGTGAATCAGAGCTGTCTTGGCTGATACGTCCTGGGGAGAATGATCCATTCCGAGTCCCTCCAGATTACAGCTATGCTTCTGTCAAAGGAGTGCAAACTGTCTAGAATTTGAAAGGGTTTATGTAGTACAATACAAAAGCAGTATTGGGTTGGCCATTGGCCCACTGGTTCAGAAACTCATGCATTGTGTCCTAAATTTAGAAGTATCATGAAATCCTTCACAAACGAGGGAAAAAATTGAATCGTGAGGGCCAGGGAAGGGGAAATGGCACCCCTCCCATCCATCTCCTCCCATTGACCATGTTTCAGATTTGGACCTAGAAATGTGGATCTCCGTCCGGTTAGGCTTGGTGAGAGAACAGCAAGAAACGTGACAGATGGGTGGCACGATGGCTTTGGCCAGCCCTGCCTGTACATACACATGCACACCCTCTTTGATACATTTGTCCTTTAGATCTTCAAATAGTCAGTAGTCCTTTTGTTTGCAGTTTAGGTTCATTTTGTCCAAATGTATTCCTATTTTTTTTTAAATCCAGTGTCCTCAGTGCTTATGTAGTAATCTTATTTTAGCCAGATACTTCTTTCTTGTTTATGACAAACAAGTTTGGATTTTTTTTTTCCTCCTGTTGGTCACTAATCTCACTTGGCACATCATGATTAAAGAAATCGCCTCAGTTCAAAAGAATAGGTGGATACAAATGTTATACTGAGGGTTTAATTTGCTTAGAATACATGGTATTTCTCCACAAGGTAACCTGCTGTATTTATTTATTTTCTTTTGGTTAAATATCATTTCCAAACTTTGTGGTCAGGCAGCGTCTAAGGTTACATTACCACAGACTGACAGTATATGTACCAATCAATCCCTTCATTAGATTACGCAGGTTTAGTTAAGTAGCATTAAATAGGATTCTTAGAAGTGTATCTTCGTAGTACTTTTAATACTTAAGGCTTTGTAAAAACTATCCATGAAGGGAGCACTCCTCAGCATAACTGCTCAGGGAAATAGGGCTGCATAACTGAACATTAAATAATTGGTTAAAGGTGCTGTTAGTCAAGCCTCAATGCTTGCTACAAGGATGTATGTACAAGGACTGACTTTAATAATTTGCATTATATTGTCCCAACCAGTAGTTTATTTTTTGCCACGGAGATGTAGAAGATATTACAAGCTGCTGGATGCACTGTCAGATTAACTTATTTCATTAAAGAAGTTGGGAGAACAAATAGGAAAAAAAAAAACTTATTTTTCTAGTAAATATTAATGTATTACATTTCAAATAATGGTGCCTGACATATTGAATAAATATTTTCTACAGTGTACGTATGCAACAAAGATATTCCATCACGCATTGGAGTCAGTTCTGGCTCTGCCTCGCTGTTTACATTTGCAAATGTAGCAAACAAGGTAATGAAGCAACTGTTTCTATTGCAGTAGATATCTTTTTGTGTGTGTGTGTGTGTGTGCATTAAAATTGTAAACGGTAACATGAAACTTCTTGATATAATGGTATGGAAAACAAGAAAGAAATGAAAATATTTTTATGCCTACTTAGGAAAAAAAAGGGTAGCACTATTCATTCCAAGTACTTTTTTTTTTTTTTTTTAATTTTTAAGCTCTTAACTCACATTGTTATGCTTAAGACGATAAACATATATCCTCTTTTATTGCTTTGTCTATGTTTCAGAGGAAACATTTCAGAAATTATTTTGATAAGTGTTGCCGGAATCCGCAGCACTGAAGTTTTTATTGCATTCTGTAGTCGAATTTGCACTCCATTTTTACGTTAATTTGCAGTTGCTTTGTATTGTTTCGTTTCCTTTGGGGTTTGTTTCTCACAGTGCCCTCTTTGTTTCTTTAAAGTTGGAAGGCAGGTAGAATTCAATCAGTTCCTGACTGTTGTAGTGAATGAAGTTAAAAATATCTTTCTGATGTTGTGTTGTCGTTTCAATTCTTGCATTTTCATTTCTCATGAACAAAGAAAAAAACAAAACAAAACAAAAAAAAATGAATGAGAGAAATCAGGACCGAGTCCTCCGCTTCGGCATTGTTGATGAGGGGCCTACTCTGAGCTCAGCTGCTGTTCAGCTGCGGCCACCACAGAAGCTGATGTCTCGAGGTGGAGGATGGAGCTCTGATGTGCAGCCCATCTGACCGGATTTGTCTTCCGTAGGAATTCTGATGGATGCATCTCAAAGCAACCAGACAGATCTGGGAGGTGTTACTGAGGGATTTCCCAAACAGTAGTGGTTGGTTTACGTATTGAAAAAGAATATAAAAATGCAAGGGAGCACTCTTCGAGCGACATGATACGTAGAGAGCGTCAATCAGTGGCAAGCAGATGAACCCGGGCACAGAAGACGAGTGGCTGGTAACATCGGAAGTTTGTTTAACTCGGGCACTATTACAAGTTATTACTTTTTTGCGCAAAACTTCTCCTTCCTCAGTTTCCCCAGTGTGTCAGACATAAATAGGTTGTTCATTGTGGGCACGTATGCCTTTGTTTTTCATTCTTTTTTTTTTTTCTTTCTTTCTCAAACAGACATAGTAGTAATGAGCATTGGAAAATACATATCACTTTTTTGGGAATATTTATGTTCAGTCTACTTTCAGTAGAATATTCTTCGATAGCATTGGCATGATAGATCTTCTATACTCCTTTATTATTAATTATTTTATTTTCATTTTTGCTTTCATTAGTATACATATTCTGGTGGAAAAGAAGTCAGACTTTTTAAAACAGGATAGAAGTTTATCGTAACACTAAGATACTCCTTATTTTTTGATAAAGTGAAAGCCTTTGTTCCATCTTGCAAAATAGATTCTACAAATGTTTTCTATTTAAGATTTCAGAATCATTTTGTCTTAAATTGTGAATGATTTTAAGTGAGCTATTTAGGTACGTAACCTTTTCCCTAAAACCTTTCAAGATGATGTAGAAGTGTTCCCCTCTTGGAAAAGGTTTCCCTTTGTCCTGTGATGAGTATGATAAGCCAGCTAAAACTGTATGTCACAAAAACCCTTCAGGTCTTTTGAAATTACCTGTCTATAATCTAACTTGAGCTTGTGGCTCAAGCTGAAGGCCAGGACCGGTTCATGCATTCTTCCTGTTCTTTCTCTTGCTCCTCTCTCATCCTCGCTTACCCCAGTCTACATGCAGTTGTTTGGGATAGAAAACCATAAAGCACCAGCCCACCTCGGAGATGGTAGGCCCAGAGAGACCTGCACCGCACTGAGTCAGGAGACAAAGTGGAGCTCTCCTCAGTCCAAGAGGCGAAGAGTGAGCCCGGGCCTCTCTACACGACCTATGCGAGGTGTTCTTTTAAAACACTTTAATGATAGCAGTGTTCTGTTCTAAACGGTTCTGTTTTAGTAAAGGTAGATTTTAGGTAACAAGTGTAGGGATTCTTTTCTAAGGTAATATGTATGAGAAGAAGAGAAAAAAGTGGCTATCTTTCAAGAGGTCTTTGTGGAAGCCTGTGGTAGCACATTATGTTTATGATTGCCCATGCGCACATGATGTTATGGTCCAATGCAAATACAGCTCCCAAAATATTAAATGTATATATATTTTAAAATGCCTGAGGAAATACGGTTTTCTTAATAAATTGAAGAATACCAATACTGCTATTAAAATAATGATGAGCCTCTTGCTATGGTTGGGAAGCATCACAGAGTAACTTGTTTGGGACCTGCTCACTGCCTGCTTGTTTAGCCGGCAGTGAGTATGAACATGTGTGAACACATTTCTGTAGGGGGAAATTTGCTGTCCACTGTTGGAGGTATGAAGTAAGCCAGCCGCTGGTCACACTGCCTCTGCTGTACACGCATCTTCAGGCTAAAGCTGAGAAGTGCTCACAGCTCCCTGTTTTGGGGTTAAAGGTCATGACAAAAAAGAGAAAGCAAACTCACAAACAATTAAAGGCATCTTCGGTGAGCAAGACACAGGAGAAAACTGGAAAAATTGAAGTCCAACCTGAATCTGAAATTAAATGTCCTAATCAAAGGTATGCATGGTTAGGTGCAGGCTGTCAGCAGGCAACTGATCAGAAGTGAGAGGAGGAGGGCAAGATAGGAGTCTGGTTTGGGAGGGCAGTGTTACTTTTTCCAAAGAAAGACTTGGCAGAGGATGGAGGCATGGTGTTTCCACGTTGCACGCCCCATTGGCTGGCCATTTCTGGTGCAGAATGAATCCGCATGTTCCCAGGGGCAGGGCAGTTGTTCAGGGAGTACATCGGTCATTTGCAGTAGTTAGAACTTTGGGAGACACCAGGGCAGAAGTGTCTGAAGTCAGGGAGGAAGCCAATATGAAACGGAACAGTGATCCACATGTGGAACTGGAGAATGTGTGTTCCTGTGGTCTCTTGAAAGAAAAAGGAGAGCGCTCAGCTTCCTCTCCTATAGCAGGAAAAAAGCAAGAGTAACTTTTACCCTGGGTGTAGTGCTTAACCTTCATTAGAAAAAAAGGTCTTTCACGGCCCAAAAGTCCCCCACTGGATCCTGGTTTTCCCCCTGGTTATTTCTTCAGTAGATGAACTGCAGCAAATCACTTTTTCGTTTTGTGCCTCAGGTTCCTCAACTATAAAGTGGAAAGATATATTAATAATAATAATATTAATAATAATAATAATAATGGTAATGTAGTACTTGTTTGTAAAGCACTTTGAGATCCTTGGTTGAAGGGCACCATAAGAGTGTCAAGTATTACATGGCCAAGGGGTTTATTTAAATTGAGTTCCCCAGGGCCAAGAGAGGTGGGCGTCATTTTCGTTAAAGATGAGCTGTAAATATTATAACTAGACAGCCTGTAGTGTTGACCAGGAAAGGCAAAACTTACAAGGCTGATAAAAACCATAGTTTATTAATGGCTACCAACAAGGCAAATACCACAGTAACAAATGCCAAGTCCTTTAGGGTATACTATTCGACAACATTGATAATCTGGGGGAGGGTCAGGGGAGGGAAACATCTCCAAATGCCAATGTACAATTAACTTACAGCAATATTCACCAGCAGAAAATGTCTTTCATATGGAATGATTTCATGTTGCTAAGAAAAAGAATTCAATTTGTAGTCCTGATTTGAACATTAGAATGTTGGCTATAATAGTTCTGTTCTTACAACACATGGAATTTTTTCATTTTATTTTATTTTATTTTCATAGTGCATGTTCATTTCTACTCACAAACATGTTCTTGGTGTATTTCTTATGCAAACAATCTTCAGGCAGCAAAGATGTCTGTTACATCTAAACTTGAATAATAAAGTTTTACCACCAGTTATACACAATGGTGTTGGAATGGTTTATACGGATTCTCTTTCATTCATGTAGCAGTAGGGGATACAGACCCTTGTAACATGCAGACAGGTTTTGATGAAATAAAATGGTGAGATCAAATTACTTTTTAATAATATCACTAAGCCTAGTAACACTTGGATTCTCGCAACTTGTTTTGTTTTTGCTTTGCGCTTTTTTCCCCTTTAACGAACCAATCTCCTTTCAATAGGTTTTTGTGTAAAATATTATACTCATTTCTCTAGGAAGATTAACAATAAAAATTGCTTATTTCAAACATATTCATTGAGTATCAAATATTGACTTTTGAGTACTGGCTAGTGACCACAGTGTATAAAAACTCCTTATGGAACTTAGATTCCAGCATACCCACATGAATATGAAACAAAGGTGATGAGTCATCTCAGATAGTATAAATTAATATATTAATATTAAATACTTTTGGATTGAAATGGAATTAATGAGAGCAGGTCATCCTAAAGGAAGATTCTGGAAGAGGGACAAGCAGGTGTAATCCAAACACGGAGAGAACATTGGAGCACCTAAGTTTTCAATCAGAAGCAAACTCACCAAAGAACAGGAGCTAAAGCATGTAAATAATTGAATGCATCAGGAGCTGTTTGCTGCAAGTTTCAAAGTAGTTCCCACCCTCTTGTGTGCAACCTCTTTGTACAGTCTTCATTTACCATTTTGTTAAACAGAAATGAATGAACAAAACCCCTGATGGATGTTTGTCTTCCTCCTCATCCTTTCAGATGTTTTGAAAATAGAGTGGAGACTCTTGGAGGGGCTTTCATAAGGGACCACATTTGTTCCACAGCCAGAGGAAAACGCTGTGTAGATAAGAGTGTCGTAAGGACACTTAATCCAGTTTTTTTGTTTTCTTGGTATAGACTTCACATCTTCCGTTACAGACTTCCTTTCAGATAAAGTAGTATGCATTGTCCATGCACAAGACTGTCCGGGTCCCAGGGGTGGAGAAGAGCGTCGCCACGGGCCATTTGAGGGTGCTGATGCAACGGGCTGGTCAGCCAGCATCACCCCTCACCTGACAACCCCCCACCTCCGGGAAGGAGAGCCTATCTAACCCCTCTCCACCTTTGAGGATGGACTTTGCTCCCTCTCAATGGTACCTACAGCAGGAGCGCTAACGCACAGTCCTAGATTTTCAATTTTCAAGAAAAATTAGACAAAGGAAATTTTTTTGTGAAATTGTTTTTCAGTAGTTGACTTTGTTTTTTTAACTATAACGAGCCAAACAAAGCAGTTGTTCAGAATAAATTACACCACTCATTTGCCACAGTGGACTCATGGAGCTTGACCAGTCATGAACTCTGGTTGGTCAGAGGGGGACCTGGGCGAAGTTGGCCTTTGTGGGGCTCACATCCTCAGCTCTACCAGGTATCCCAGAGAGCCGGTTGCAGCACCAGCCAGATCCCCTTGCAGCCAGATTTATCTGAGGCTGAAAACATCTGAGCCTCAGATAAAGACAGAAAGTATCATGTCTTTAAGCATGCTGCAGATTACTTTCTACTTTTCTTTGTCATTTTGAACCTACATGTGTGTGTGTTGCAAAAAGGATTGTCAAATAATTCTCAATTCCCTTACATCTCTCTCCCAATTTTAGGGTGAAAATGAAAATGAAAACAAAGTCTGTCAGTGGGAAAGAAATGATGATTACATTTGATCATATGAATAATTTTACAAATTTTTAAAAATAAGTGGAGGGAGGGGTTCGGGGACATGGGCTTAGTAATATAAGCGCTTCCCTGGCAAGTGCAAGGGCCTAGTTCAAACCCCAGTTCTGCCAAAAAATAGAAGAGTAGAGGGAAATCTACTTATTACCTTTCTCTTAGATAGTCAAGATGTTCAGAATCTGAAGATCACCTGTAATTGTTATTTACAGAGGGTAAAGTTTTATTTGGCCACCACCATTTTTCTCCCCATTTCTTGCTTAATAACAATGACAAAATTAGGAAAAACTTTTTGTTCAGGTAATCCTGAGCTAATAAGGTTATATGTGTAAATGTTTTAATTATTCCTACTGATGCAACTAAAATTCATCTGAATGCATCGTTATTTATAGTAAATAGCGAATATTATTTCTCCTTTTTAAGTCATCTTAAAACACACACACACACACACACACACACACACTCACACAACATGCACTTTTGATATGCTAGTAACACTCCAGAATTACACAATGTTAGTTTCTCTAAGTACAATCTTAGGAATTCCTCACGATGCAGCCCTAGCGATTCAGATTCCTGCTGCTCTTCTTGTGACTGTGGTTGATTTCTGAGTGAGATAATTTGTGTTTGTTGAACAGATTCTGCTCTGAGAACTTCGAAAGGGGCTCAAAAGCCAGTTACATTTCGGTGTCGTTTTTCATGCTTCCGTAAGTGTGCAATTACATTATAAAGCTCCTTTGTTATAAATCTTTCTTTTTTCATTTGCAGACTTTCTGGAGCTTCATTTATTATATTTAATATCAATATACGTTTCAGTACTTTTTTTTCTTTACCTAAAGGTTTTATTTTTTATGAGGTTTATTGGTAAAGTTTAGATAGACATAATGATCTCATTAATAGGGACTCTGTTCTATACGTGATGTATCTCGAGTCCTCATTTTTTCCCATTCTGCTCACCTCTCTTCCACCCCTCTTCCCCTTCTTACTTAAAAATGTTGCTTCTACTTTATGCTTTTCACATGTTTTCCTTTGCCTCCTTTGCCTCTCGCTCCTCCCTAGCTCCCCTTCCTTTCGAACCATTTCTTCCTATTGTACAGTATCTTTCATACATCTTGGGTTTTATTTAGGCCCCAGTTTCTCACACCAGAGAGATAACGCAACATTAGCGCGTGTGCCCAATTTATTTACTTAAGAGTAGGGTTTCAAGGTCCATTCATTTAGCTATAAATACCTCAAGTTTCTCTTTCTGGGCCAAAAAACTTCCATTACATTCACTTCATTAAAATTTGGGGAAAAATATTTCATGCTGACTTTTAAGTATGAAACAGTCTGAATTAGAAAGTCTTTGGTACAGGATAATAATAGCAGTGACTCCCAGGAAACACGGAGGAAACGCTTCTTACAGGGAAAAGCCAACAGCCTGCGGCAAGCAGACCTCCAGGACTCCAGAAGATTTTGAGCACGAAATTGCTTTACTTTCTGCAGCCCGGCATTGCTCCTAAAATTATAACATAGAAATCACACTTCCTGTACACATACAAATTTTAAAATGAGACCAGTCACCTCACAATCAATGGCAACTGTTTACCGGACTTGAAAAGCATAATTGGAATAGTTTGCTTAGGATTTTCAGACACAGCTCACCTTTGATGGCAGCTGAGGCTTCAGAATGCTCAAACGCAGTGGAAAAGTCTTTTTAATTTTTTCAAAAGTTTTGTTTCTGAATTGGCGTCAGCTGATCCTAGCTTCCCTGGCAGTCTCATATTTAAAGGTTGCATTTAAGGTTTAACTTCGGGTAAAGTTGTCCACAGCAAAGTTACTAGAAGCATTTCTCATAAATGAGACACCTTCCTGCCCTGAGCAACTGCATTCATTCCTATACCCTGCTACCTCAGTAACATCTTAC